GATTATTTTTGTGAACATTACTTTTAAAATGATTAGCTAAATACCGTTTCTTGATAAATATATGACACGTTAGACATTCCACTTGATCTTCGTTACTGATACTGTTCCCTGCAGAGGTAGGCGCTTCTGCTTCCGTTGTTGGTTTTTTGATGATCTTGGGTTCTTTGCTGCTCGTTTGCTTCGTTCCTCTTCCAAGTGGTAGTGGTTGACTACTAAAATGTTTAAATTTATTAAAAACTGTACAAGACATTGTGTAAATTATGATCGAAATGAATGTTTATTTTACTTACTTAAACTGTGTTTCAACCATCGCACAGTGATTATACAACTCATCATCATACGATGAATCGAACAGTTGATCCTTCTCCATTTCATCACAAACTTTAGACAACTCCTGATTTAATTCGCTGTTGAATAGTTCCGTATTCTCTTCCATGGTTGTGGAGAAGAAAGCACTGGTGCACACTTCACTGAAGTTTGCCATCCTTATAGTAAAGAAGAAAATAGGTAGCAGAGTAAGTAACAGTTCAGTGTTGGTAGACCAACTGATACCCAAATTTCAAATAATGTCCGATATTTAAGTCTAACAAAGGATTAGAAATAGAATATAATGAGTACACGGAAGTAATTTAAGTAAACAGAATCACATTCACTAATGATCAGCTAATGACTGTCATTGTTAAAAAAGTATTTTTTAACTTTTTCACTTTCTGCTATTGTCTTTGTAATATTGTATACGAGGGCGTTTGTGTTGTCGTAGATGCTATCCTTATTAGTCTTTACGTAATATTTAATCCTCGTGGAAGCATGTTTCCAATGATCAGTAGTTGGAATCTTGGATAGCTTCTTCATATCGTACATTTCAATTTTGATGAGATGCGTCGCTTGGTCTCCGTCGTCAGAATTAGTAGAAATGTATGATACACCATCTCTAGCGGCTCGTGCTACGGTTGATGATAACAGCTTCCTCTTTTTTATTTTTGATTCAGCTTCAAAAAAATGATCAATCGATTGCGATTTTCTTTTTCCACCATCGCATGTGTTATTATTAATGACGATGTCATCACTCTCTTCTTGAGGGGAGAGTGGCGAGTAGTAATACTGTTTATAGGTATTTTCATCGAAGCTCAATGATTTCTGCAACAACACAGTTATCATGTTAATATCAATTTGTTAACACTTAATCATAAAAGTTAAAAAAGCTAAAGTTACAACCTATTAAAGTCCACTGCTGAACATAGGCCTCCTTTCATTTCTGAGAGGGTTTTAGGGCTAGGAAATGTTCGCTGTGATACCTCAATGCGTGTTGGCAAACTTCACATGCCTTCGAAATTTTCTCAGACATGCATTCCTCACGATGTTTTCCTTCACCGCTGAGCACGTGGTAAATCAGCACTTAAAATTGTAATTAACAATTTAATTGGTGCCGGCGGGGATCGAACCCGGGTCGTGTACTAAGAATTTTACATTTTGCGCTAACCATCTGAGCTACCACGGCTTAACCATATACACACACACATAATATTTAAATATAATTTGTTAACACTAAATCATACACACGTAAGAAAATAACAGAAAGAAAAGTAAGTTTGTCAATAGAATAAACACTTACATCCATGGCCTTTGATGCGTTGAAGTAACACAAACGTAGTATTGATAGATCCACTGCGGTCAAACGACCATACACTAACTCCATGACTGCAGTTGCTTGGTCTTATATAGTACCAGTTAGTAATAATTCTAATCTAAAGAATTTCTGCAGTAGAATTGATAGTATCTTTATGCGTCATCAAGCTCACCTTACATTCTGTTGCTTATCTCTACATTCCTACGTCCTTCCTGTCGTGTCTTGTTCAGTGTATTGAATGGTGACTCAAATACGTTTTGTATAACACAAAGAAAGCAATTTAATATTTAGATATCACTATAATTGATCATTCCTATATTAGTCATTGAGTAGATTGGTACTGTAATAATCTACTAATAGCAGTAATATTATGGATACACTGGATGTACAACAACATCTGAAAAAGATTCACCCCACTCTAGAAAATAATGTTTATGCTGCCAATAAACTACCCATGTACACCCACGTACCAACGTATATAATATGCAATTTGGATACAGATGATAAACCAGGGTCACATTGGGTAGCTTTATATATCGATACGAATGACGTCGGTCAATATTTTGATTCATTCGGACGGGCACCTGTACGATATCATCTAGAGTTTTTTAAAAGAAATTGTAAAAGATGGAACTGGAATGTTGATAGGATTCAGAATGAGTGGACTTCAGTTTGTGGCGAATATTGCTTAATGTATTTGCTATATAAGTTTCAGGGATGTTCAATGCATAGTTTTACGAGTATATTTACAGAGAACACATTGTACAACGATATTTTAGTGGATGAGATGTTTCGCTCCTATTTTATAGATAATAAGTAATAAGATTTTGTATTTTATAAATAAAAATTTTAACAAAATTAGGTAATGTGTTTTATTGATGATTCAGATTAGTGTTGTAGATAGGAACAAAGGAGTATAATACAATAGCATAAGCCGACCCACACGCTGACGAATAATAGATAATGACGGTAGTCAATCAACAATAGATAAGTAGATAAGGACAATGGAGCGCTAATGACGGTTGAGGCTCGTAGCGGATATCAATTAGATAAGAGTTAATTGATCTGCTCATCTCCGGAACCGTGCATCCTACGCAAAAATGGACCGCAGATTCGTGATCAGAGCATGCCAAAACCTTTTTTTTTTTTTTTTTAGGATTGTGAGTCGACGAACGTCGTGCGCCAGAACTGGTACAACCTTTTTACAAGTGCGCCAGAACTGGTACAACCTAACTACTGCCATACCATATGGGTCTTAAGATGGACATGGACAAAACAAAGATCATGTTCAATGTCCATGCCAGTAGTTGTTGGGAGCACTATGCTCGAAGTTGTTTACGAGTACGTTTACCTGGGACAAATAGTCCGACTAGGTAAGTCCAACTTCGAACGAGAGTTCAATCGACGGATTCAACTCGGCTGGGCAGCGTTCGGGAAATTACGACACATATTCTCGTCAGGTATACCTCAAACTCTGAAAACTAGATTGTACAACCAGTGCCTGTTGCCAGTGATGACTTACGGATCTGAGACGTGGTCCTTCACTGCTGGCCGTATGTGGACGCTCAAGGTCACTCAGCGAGCTACGGAGAGGTCTATGCTCGGAGTTTCTCTGCGTGATAGATTCAGAAATGAGGATATCCGCAGTAAAACCAGAGTGACCGACACAGCCCAACGGATTAGTAAGCTGAAGTGGCAATGGGCCGGCCATATAGCTCGAAGAACCGAACCGGGAAGAAAGGTTCTCGAGTGGCAGCCCCGTACCGGTAGGCGTAGTGTAGGGCGACCCCCCCACTAGATGGAGTGACGACCTGGTAAGACATGCAGGAAGTCGATGGACGCAGGTGGCTCAGCACGGTCCGTGCTTTGTGGCATTACTTGGGGGAGGCCTATGTTCAGCAGTGGACTTGTGAAGGGCTGTAATGATGATGATGGGCCATAGCATCCACTTACCATCAGGTGGACCGTGTGCTCGTTTGTCACCCAATGCTATAAAAAAATTCGTTGAAGCAGGTGCCCATGTCACAAAGGATGACTGGGCAAAAGTGGTAGACAAAACAAAAAATGATTATGGATGACTTTGAAAGAGACATTAATTTTAAGTGCATTATTGATAATCAAATAATAATTAATATAAACAACGACATACCTACTAGATGTACTGAAAATGATTGAATAAATTTATTTTTAATCTAGTTTCAATCTTAAATTTTTATAACTGTACCTCTAGAAATAAGCAGTTACAACAAATACGAAGAAACTGATAAATCTTGTGTTATAAATTGTCCGTTTTTAATTTATTCTGGTATTATTCAAACCAAACTGTAAATGATTACCAACTCTAAATAATCGATATCGATTTTTTTAAAAATCGAATATTGTACGTTCCGATTTTTTGGTTGGCATGCTTGGTGCAATAAGTCTGACAGCTGTCAAAATGTATTTCTTAGATTTTGTAGACTAGCAAATATGCAAACAATTATTTATTATGACAATTTTCGCGCGTTTATATCAACTGCGCATGCGCGACTCTACTGTCTGCCGCGCATGCGCGATGACCGAGTAGTGCACATTTTTTCCTTTGGAATCCCTTCTTTAATACGTAGTACCTATGTATATAACTCAATGGTTTAGCAATACTTACACTGCTGTGTTTCGCTATGGTATAAAAAGCCAGTATAGTTACAGGTTATGAGGAGTCCATTTTATTCCTCAGAGGTGACAAAGTATCTATAGCTTTCTTTGTATGGACTTCATCAGGAGTCAGGAGTTAAGTCACGAGTCTATTGGCTACAGTAGCCACTTACCATCAAGTGGACTGTAGGTATTTCAGTCAGTTTTATAAAAAAAAGGATGTATTTTATATTTTATACTCTTCTTATTCTTCATTACCAGCCCTTAACTGATAGAAATTAGCCTTCACCGTTGTAAGAAGGTTAAACCATAAACTTTATAGAGGAAAGTGACCGCAGTACCTCGCATCTTTGACTCTGCTCCTTGTCGTCGGTTGATGATATACACAGAAATAGTAATAATAAGACAATGTTATACCTTTATTAGTTGAATTACACGTCCTTGATGAGTTTTTACAACTGATTATGCTGCAGTTCACCATTAAAATAACATAAATTCACGTACGACGTTCCCCGCGCAACTAAATCACAAAATGGTGAATGATGTTCGTCAACACATCATAGCGGCGACAAGGTCACGCTTCTGTGCGACTTCTGTTGTCTTTCTTACGATTTCTGTGATGCTATACCATCGTTCTATCAGAGGCCATGACTTCATAAAAAAACTATAGCTTTTTTTATTAGAATGTATAATTATGTATGTCTTTTTAAGTAGTAATGTATTTCACTTTTGTTACCAGCACTTCTGCTTTTATACGATGTGACCAACAAGATAAGTTTTGACAACATACGCGCCTGGCTTGGCGAGATACGGGAGTACGCACAAGACGACGTGGTCATAATGCTACTGGGTAATTTAATAACTGTTTTATATAGTTTTATACACTCTTGTTCTTCTTTTAAAAAGGTCGCTCTTACGAGCATTAAAGCCCAACGTCTACCGCGAACTAAACGATGTGAAAACTAAGCTCAGTGAAATAAGCTAAACTAAGCAGGAAAATCATTGCCCGTCCACCGAAAAATAAGCTAAAACTACGTTAGTGATGGCCAGTTTGTGCTGGTGTGTTGAGTTAAGGCGACACCGCAAAAAAAATGCACCTCCTTTCATCGAATAATATAGGACTATGACACCACTAACGAAAGTGGAATTTTGATGTAGGTAAATTCATGTCTTTATCTTGAATTTGATTGTTCAAAAACACGATTGTATAATTTTGACTCGATCAAAATTATTTGCGAAAACACCTCTAAAAAATCACTATAAGTAGTTGAAATTACAACGAAATTAATTAACCTACTTATATGCTCGGGAATCACTTAAATATATTCATAACATCAATATTCATAATTTACTTGGTCATTATTTTGATTACTCAAATCAATAATTTTTAAATAAATATTTTAAGATTCTGACAATTTCTAAGCGCTTTTAATCGTCGCGGGCGCTACGTAATTTTAGACCTTATGACGGCGTTTTTTCAAGTTTTTATAGAAATTATGTAAGTATTCACTCGGATCAGTACGGCGATAGCCTTTTCGATGTGTCGTCTTAATCGGACTTAATGGAAGAACAAGAAAAAAGATACAACAAAAAGTTGTATAAAAAAATTATTCGAAGTGTGACAAAATCATGATGATTTCTCAGCTTTCATACAAAGATTGAATACCCTCCCTTGCACTAAGCAAAAAACACTAGCGAAAGGCGCCAGAGGGGTGTGATAAAGGGGTGAGAGGCGCTTAGCTTAGTTCGCGTAGTTTCGGATCTGCCTACACAACTAAGTTAGATTGACTTGTTTGACTATTTTACCTAGCTTAGCTGGCATATTTTGCGGTGGAAGCACATGTATAAAATACTAGCTCAGCTATGCGAACTAAGATAAACTAAGTTAGTTTAGTTTGCGATGGACGTTCGACTTCACATAAGTTGTTTTTATGACACTTACAGAATAAAATTAATTATGAAAATAGAATTAATTATGTCTTATAAGCATCTAATGGCCAAATACTCAAACGCTGACGTCATTAAATCTCGTAGTGTCACAATCACTTTGACTTTAAGTGAAAGAGATAGCACGAGACTTAACGGCGTCTTAAAATTGAGCAGCGTTTGAGTATTTTTTCGTAACTACGACACTTATAATATTTTATACTACTTATCATACATTAATTTACTGTGTAAGAATATCCACTAGCCAATGTCAAGCCGTGGGTGTCGTAAGAAGCGACAGAGTTAAACATCCAGGAGATGGCTCTATGAGGAAATCTATGTGGGAAGCTTCAGTTCACCAGTGGACATTTAAAGCCGTCTATACATGTTCACCGAGCGAAGGCGAGCACCAACGTGTATACGGTTCGTTTGGCGTGCCTTGCCGCCACTCAGGATCGCTCGCTATGACTCGTCCACTTCGGAACAGTGTCAGTTTTTCTACACAAATCAAAGGCGCTCGTCTGCACTCGGCAATTACCGTCCACATGTTAGTCGCCCATGTCAATTACAGCTTGGCGTCCGTCCCGGTGAGATATTGATTTAATTAAGTGGCAACTTTAAAATACACAGTACACTGACATAATAATTATATGCACTCATTAAGGCGACACGGCGACACCACGAAAACTACGAACTAGCTAAACGAAAACTCCTTTTATCGAATAGTATAGGACTATGACACCACTAAAGAAAGTGGAATTTTGATATAGGTAAATTCATGTCTTTCTCTTGAATTTGCTTGGTCAAGAACACGGTTGTATAATTTTGACTCGATCATAACTATTTGCGAAAACACCTCTAAAAATCACTATAGTTGAAATTACAACGAAATTACTTAATCTATATGCTTGGGAATCACTCAAATATGATAACATCAATGTTCATAATTTACTTGCTCATTATTTTGATTACTTAAATCAATAATTTAAAAAAATATTTTTAGATTCTGACAATTTCTAAGCGGTTTTAATCGTCGCGGGCGCTACGCTATTTTAGACTTTAATGGCGGCGTTTTTTAAGTTTTTATAGAAATTATATATTCACTCGTATATCAGTACGGCGATAGCCCGGAGCCACTTTTTCAATGATGAATCAAGAGTCTTCTTAAATAAATAGCGGAAGCTGCAATAACTTTTACGTCGTCCATATCATACCAATTCTCAATGACAACTAATTACGGCCAACATGTGGATTGCTACACAAAAACTCTTGAACATTGGCCTTGGCATTGGTCTCTTTCGAACTTGACCAACGTGTAGTCTGTAGCACTCGTCTTGTATCAATTTGCCCAGGCTCGCATTGGCTGAGGCTTGGCCAACATGTATTAGCGAGATAATAGTCTGTAATTAAAAAAAAATTCAAGGGACTTTAATATATAAGCAAAATTGGAAGTGTGTTGTGGGTCTCATAGTTTTTGAATCATCTTGGCGTCGAAAGCAACTTGAAATTATTTCAATGTCAACAAAGCCGATGTGTCGCTCACTTCTTTGCCAATCTGGAATACAAGATCAGCCTTTCCTAGAAACAGACGCGAGAATGTCCCTGTGCTTAATTTAATTCTTTAAAAACATTTTTTAATGAAATCCGGCCCCAAGAAGAGGTTTTGTTATCTTCCTAGCAAATAGTATATAATCCAAAATTTAAATATACTAGCTACTTGTAATGTAAAACGGAAAGAATGAAAAATAAGAAAACCTAAGTACCTAACCTAAACCCAACAAAAAGCAAAACAGTTCTCTGCAAATACATGGTACGTGAAATACTAACGTATTTGTTATTACTTTTTAGATAATTAAATATAAAAAATGGATGTGCCAGTAGCTCTTCGATAATAACAATATTTGTTCGATTAAATTCCAAAATGTAAATCTTGTTTCTAATCGGCGGATTCGAATTCAAGTATTTGTATGGCTAGAAGCGTTGTACACTATTCTGATAACAACTTAAGTAACTAACAATATTTTTTTATTTAATAAGGGCGATCAACTTAGTCTATTCAATGGTCTAAGGCTCTAAGGCGACCAACGAGCACACAGTCTACTTGACGGTAAGTGGATGCTGTGGCCCATAGAATCAAAAATCAAAATCGAAATGCGTTTTCGCCTTTGAGGACTATGACGGAATTCCTCGTTTCCAGTAAAAAGGGTTTAGAGTTAACTACACATACCACAAAACACAACAGCATTTACGCTGGTATTTTGTGATAGCGTGGTCCTTCCCCGGTTAAGTCGAGTCATTCGTACTGTAAACGTAAAATACACTAAAAAAAAAGCGTTCAACGCTCCAGCCTACAGAAATAAGAAAGAGGTTGATCTCTACCCTACCCTGATGAACTCCTAGGCATCAATAGAATCATATCACCTAGTTGGTTAGTTTTAACTATTAATTAAGACAAAGCTTTGATATAATGAGATAGAGTTGGTTTCAAATTATGATAACATGATTGAACGAAGAACGTGTTATTATTGTACAAACATATTTTATAAGCTTTAAGATTCTAGTACATTCCTCGTCCGTACATAAATCAGGTCAAAACCTTTCTGTAGAAGAGGAAATAACCGCTTTATTTTCCTGCAGGAAACAAATCCGACAGCGGCTTAGAGAGGGCGGTGAGGCGCGAGGAGGGACAGCGCTTGGCGAGAGAATATCAAGTCGAATTTATGGAGACGTCAGCGAAAACCGGACTGAATGTGGAAGCGGCATTTGCTCATGTGGCGCGCGCTCTAGTCGCGAAAGCGAACCCTGTTGACCCAGCCAGGCTAGCAGTGCGCGCGCAACCGTCACAGGAACAAAGGTCTTCGTGTCCGCCATGCTCATAGATGGAATACCCAAATTCCCGCCACTTTTTAAAATTGGAACGCGGCCGATTCAAAGTGGACCAACATAAACGCACGCTTCGTGGCACATTTTGTGTCGTGTGATGTTATAATATATTGCAAGAAATAATTAAAAAAAAACACCATGTTCCTCACCTCATCTATATTCCTGCTTATGTTGAATTTCAAATAAGTATATGTTCATATTATTTATATTTATAAAACTCAATACTATGAAAATAGCCAAAATGTCTATACTCTATATATGCACAGAATAAATAATAGTATCTATTTACTACGATATAGGTTGGATTCGATCGTACAAAGCTTGAATAAATCGCTAATACGCTATTTTGTTCAATCAAAATGATTGTATTTTTAATTCACGTAAGATGATATATGAGTAAGTATATCGGGTAAATTAAATGCTTTAGTTAATTTTTAGTCACCAATAGAGTTTGATCCTGAAACCAGTTTAATAAGTGAAGTCGGGTTACATGTATATTTTTAATTATCCAAGCTTATCAATGTTGACAAACACTGTGTTTTTGATTAATCTCTATCTCAAAAATAGATAATTAGATACATACTATGTATTTATAAAATTATGCACATGAAAATCATCAAATAACACATTACAATAAAAGAATTATTGTTATTATTTATTATGATTTTTGGCTTGGATGCTTCTTTTTTAAGTCATGTCGTCTTTTCATTCGGGATTTTCGTTAAATTATGTATATAAAAAGCACAGATTATAGAAAAAAATATCATATCTTTTTCCTATAATACGATACTGGTTCTTTTAAATCGCTTACTATAAAAGGGTATTTCTTTTAAAATATTGTTTTATATCAAACCATGAAATTTGATTTGCAATGTTTTAATTTACAGCTTTCTGTTGTATTTTATTTTTAATTTAAAGTTGTGTTATTGTAATCCATTTTTGTTATATTACATAAAGCCTTTATTGGAGCGGAGCTCCCACGGCGCAAGAAAACAATTCTTTGAAATCTATCTCCTCCGCAAACCGTTGGCCAATTTACATAATTTTTTCAACAATATTTGTAGCTCAACGCAGACAAGGTTTGTAAACAATAAAAATCTGAATTTGATTTTTTTTTTCTTTTACTAATCTAGTCAATTCGCCAATGTCACACCATTTGATTTAATCTTTTGTTGAAATACGACTTTAGACTTTTACTCCGCTCCGTTTATGATGCTAGCAAAAGGTTTTACCTTTACATCTGCATTGGCCCCAGTATATTAATTATATACTAGCTGAACCCGGCAGACATTTAAGCAACGTTTTTTATTTAGCGTATGTAATTTATTGTCGCGCTTGATTGAAAAAAAAAAAACTTTTAATTTTTTTTCATTTTTTTTGTAAAATAAATATATAGTATACCAATTTTAATTTGATCGATAAAATAGATTTTGAGTTACACAATTTCATATACTTATACAAACATCCCCTTTCATAATATGTACCTATAGATATTTCGAAGTAAAACTTCCTTTGACATTCACTCACAAGTTACACCATCTTTACTTTTTATTTATTTTTTAAGTGGTAAACGGGCTTACAGTTCACCTGGTAAGTGCCCACTGTACATTGACACCTGCAGCCGATTCGAAAAGAGGCTACAGGCGAGTATGTGAGGAGACGGTAATATAAGTAACCTGTAACTGTAATTACATCATAAACTGTTTGTGAAATTTTGTGTGAAAATACTATGATAATGTACATTTAATATTAATTTGTGCAATTAGAAATAAAAAGGGTTTTAGGAATACCTATCAGAAAAAAACAACTAATATACCTACTTAAGCACTTTACGTTTAAGAGCATAATAATAATAAAAAAAATGTTCTAATAGTTCTAATGCAGTACTTAATCGATGTGTTTTAAAATGATAATATGATGTGTGCCATTTAAATGTTGCTTATAATAAAACGAATTTAATTAATACACGTGTTTTATTATGTTGTCTATCACCAGCTACCTAACTCAGAGTACCTAATCTTAAATGTAACCCTTAAGTTTCCGGCATTTTCATCTATTTTAAATTAAAATATTGATAAGCAAAGCTTCAATATATCTCGATGAATTTTATAACAAGTAAAATGAAATTTTAAAGGATAATTGACAGAATCAGGCGGATGCTGTGGCCCATAGACATCTACAATATCCACGATTAAGGATCAAAATGCAGATGCGTTGTCATCCCTGAGGACTCATATGGAATGCCTCGTTTCCCGTCAAATAAGGTCTCCTGATCTCTACACTCACCATACGAAACACAGCAGTATTAAGCTGCTATTTTACGTTGATATTCTGTGACAGCGTGGTCCTTCCCCTGTAGAGCCGACCCATTTGTGCTACAATCATAATATAGCTGCAGCGTGGTTTTACCACGTATCTATATATATATATATATATATATATAATAAAATAAAAATATGTACTAACACATTTACTTTTTCCTTGTAATCGGTCAGTCTTTCCTAACTAGTCTATTTTACTTTCAGCTCTTAAGCAACTTTCATCTTCTTAGTCTTCTTTCTTCTTTATTTTTTTTTGCGGCGGTTATGAGTAGTTGTATAATCATATTAGTATGTTATTAAGGACAAACATTAAAGTTTTATACTATTGGTGTTAATGAAATCACACATATAAAGGTACAAAAGGAGTGTTTGAAGGCAACATTTATAGGACGAGGAATGTCAGGAGCTCAGGACTCAGGAGGGAGGTGATCATATAGTGAACAAAATAATTTTGGACAGTAAAAAAATATGGTTGGTGGTTCCCTCATCTGATCTACATTCACAGAGAGAGCTATCAGTGATCCCTTAATTTGGCTAAATGTATTTGTGTGCAAAGCATGGCCAATTCTAAGTCTACTAATAATTTATGTTGCATGTTTGTTGGCTTAAATAAGTTAAATTTTAAAAACCCACGGCTTTGGAGAGATGGAACATTGTATAGCAGCATAGTGTTTACCTTTTATATTTTGAGTGGTTTCAATAACCAATTCCACTTATTATTTAACTTCTGCTTTGAAAGTAACACTATGGTTATCTTAGTCACAGTTTTTCAGGAAAGAGAAATATTGATAGTGGTACCTACCTTAGGTATGCTTTTTGCAGTAGTAATTTTACGGTATCTACCTAAAACTACTGCCACTAATAACTTCTATTTTGTTACAAAACTAAGTTGCAAAATAATTGATCAATCTAATCTAAAGTAGGTATTTTAAGAACTTATGAACATAATACATTAAATATAGTTATTATTATTCATTCTTAATTTCATTAAAGTTTTTTTTAATATTACTAGGTATCCTTCGTAGTAAGTTAGAGTTAGTATTTATGCCTTCCACTTCTACTTTAACTAGTCTCCCACTCTTCCACTGTAAATATTCATTCTATTATGTTGGCAGTACTAATTAAGTTTTAAAGTTTTTAAAGTAAAAATGTGTCCAAGTTTATAGTATAACTGATTGAAATAAATTTTGAAAATAATTTCAACAGTCGAAAAACTTACAATATCATTGCTTTTAGCCTTTGAAATAAAATATTAATTTATCTTTAAAGTTTGTATTTCCCGCTTTCTAGAAACAGCTGCTATGTTCACAGATGTTTAAATTTGGCGCTCATATCGAGTACGTTAGAAAGAGATAGCTATGTTTTACAGGGGTTAACAACATTTATAAAAATTGGTTTTCATATTTTAGTATGTAAATTAATAAATATAAAACGCTATTTTGTATGTAATCATTTCTTAAATTTACGCGAGTACTGACTGTACCGATTTTAATATTTAAAAACTTTTTAAGCCGACATGTCGGAATTTACGTTTTGGGTGTTCAACGGAGACATGGGTGCAGTAAAGCACTTATTATTAAAAACAATATAATGTGTAAACTTAATTTTATTCAATGCTATTTTTATTTGGTACAAGTTTTTAATAAAATTACGTAAAATTATCATCAAAAAATTATTTAGAGCGCTCGTGTATTAGACCTACACGGTAATTTTACATCAAGTAACCTCATGTCCCTTAATTACGTAGTTTACATCCGGATGTCATGTCAGAGTGGTGCCAACCCGTTGTCAGGTTTTCGGACCAATTACAATTTAAATAAATAAACACGATAAAAGTTAAAAACCAAGTACGAAAACTAAAAGTAACGAAATTATTTCTTCAATGGTAATATGACACACAAATTTTGAACCATCCGCGCTAACTTAGCAGAAATCTAAAAATAGTAGTATTAAATGTTGTATTTAGTATCACCAAATATATCACGAAAATGATTTAGATCAATCTGTTATGTATCAAAAAGGTATTTATCACATTTTGTCACAATATTACTAAATTATCTACAAGGTCCTGGATTTTTTGGTTACTGATGACTTTAATTAAATTGATGCGGCTTTTTAGTACGTGCTTTATATGGTGCTGATAGCATTTCTCTATGCTGTTAAGACACAAGTGCTCATATTTACTCGATTATGCGTATTTTGTATACTTTATGGCGTGTCAACCTTTCTAAAAATATTACGTAAGAATAAAAATAACAGTTGTATGATAAACTTGCCTATTGACTAAAATAATAAATAGATTATTTAATCGTCTTCAAAGAATCACATACCTCAAAAATTACACTTAATTATGTGAATGACAGCTTCAAAATGATACCATATATAAACTTTTTAAAGTTGCCATATTATTTCATTGCACAGAGTGGTCAAACTAAAATGTTGAAATTATTGTATTCTTGTTACTTCTTTGAAGTTAGTTTCAATTCTTGCAAAAAATTTAATTTTTTACTCTTTTGACTGGGGAATATCACAAGCTAAATTCATATCTTGTTTTAAAGCCCAATTAAATATAAAACAATATACAGGTTTGAGCATTTTTTAAGGAAAAACTCGGTCCAAATCTAAAAATTTAAAACTTAGTTATTAAAGGTCTACTATATACTAGATAATTCTGCCGTATAGTACAAGCACCGTTAAGGAACTAAATAGAAGTTATATCAATATAATGATATTACCTCTTAAATTTCTCACATTAATGAATAATATAATGAATGTAATTTAATTTTTTATATAAAACTATAAACGCTATCGTACGAACCTTACGAAAAAGGTTTGAATTATCTGGACGTAAGTGCTTGTTTGTATCGTTATGTTGGACACCCTGACGCCATTTTACGCGCACATGCGCAGAACGACAGGTGGTCGGCGACTCGACCCAGCTATTCCGACCGAACATCGACTTCTCGTCCTCATCATCAGCCGCTTTCATACTCAAGCTAGAACGATGTGCAGTGCTTTGTGTTGAAGTGTTCGTGGTGACATGGCGTCCGTTTATTAATGCTGTAGAAGTTTTTACTTTCAAAATTTTGTTTATTTACAATGAGTGTGAATTATGATCGTGTTTGTAGACTGTGCTTGTCATCTCGAGGCGAATTACTGCCGATATTTCCTACCACCAGTTCGGATGAATCGGAACCTCCTGCCATCGCATCAAAAATTAAGGATTGTGTGTCCGTACAGGTATGTAATATGTAAAATAAGTTTTAGAATGGTGTTTTGAGTGAAAGTAGACCCTTGGTGTACGTGAGAACTCGTCATCCGCCCCGGTTCGAGTAATGACAGGCAGCGCTGCGTTTAGGTGGAGATGTCGTAAGATCGTCCACCATTTTGTAATGTTCCACCGCTATCGCTCGGCTCGTGGCCGCGTCGCGTCGCATTCCGTGCAGCCGGCGAGGAATGGCGCGTATTGTGAGGGTCGGGTTTGGCATTATTCCCGGGGGTCTGGTCGGGAGGGGGTCTGCGTATCGTTAGATAGGCATGGCGTTGGATGTATTGATTTATCGGACGAGACCAGGCCAGGACAGCTTATCCCTCACGATGCGAGCGTCGGTGTTGGCGTGAGTGCGCTATAGGTGTGTATGTGTGTGTGCCTATATCGAGCGGTAACCCTCGAGGGGCTCACTGGTTGCCACTCGACTCGCTTCTACTTATTCGGTCGAGGAGCAGCCGTCCGTCGCGCGGTTATACCTACGCCTACTTAGTTTCTCCTCGCGTCGTATCTATCTATACACGAGGCGCGGTTTGACTCGCCCGTTCTGATGAAACGCGCGTCTTTCGGCCTTCATACATTGATTGCGTATGATTATTTTTTCAGATAAACGAAGATGACGACCTGCCAACTAATGTTTGCAAGAAATGCATGGACAATGTTAATAACTGGCATATTTTTAAGGCTGTATGTGAAAGGACACAAAACAAACTACAGTCTCTGATTAAAAATGATGGCAGCCAACTAGAAGAGGTTGGTTTATTTCTTTAACCATTTAAGCTTGGAATTGTCAACTTTATTATTACATTAAACACATTTGTTATGTTTTCACAGGTGCAAATTAAAAGTGAACCTTTGTCTGATGAGGTTTATGATGATGGAGTGGTTATTGATGGCTCATACCCTGACCTTGAGGTATGTTGAATGATAATTGTTTAATGTAAATACTGGGTATTTTATATAATTTAAAAAATATATTTCTTTGGAATTATCCTTATTAAATGTAACTTCAGCAGAAGGTTTTCTTGTATTTGGTGTCAAGGACATTTATAACTAACAAGCCAACCAATTGTGACTTCTATATAAAGTTATCCCATTTACAATATTATTGATATCATCTCTATTTTTCTTAAATTTCATATTAATTTAGCCTCACATTTGAACTTAATAAATATTAAGTTATATATAGCATCCTGTTTTAGCTTAATGTGTTAGTATATATTTTTGTTTTTAATTTCAGAATGCATCTACATCCAGCAAAGTACAACCAGAAGGTCCACCTATCTTGGCATCGTTGGGTCTTACACCGAGGAGTGATAAGGTAAAGATTAAATATCTATGTGATTTATCATTCAAACTAAGAATTAATATAGCACAAAATTATACCTCCGTTTGTATTATCTGATACTTAAGTACATTCACTTGAATTGTTATTTACTATTTATAGTTTATTTTTCCTATTTGAAAATACCAGTTACCAGTTGTAAAAACAAATCGGAAGACAAATTGAAGAATACCAGTGTGAGAATACCTTAATTGAATTAATTTCATTCACAGAACTATATAGATCCCCGGATGGACTGGCACCGGGTACATGCAATATTGGATATAATTCAAGATGATGAGGTCATAGACTCTTTGCAGTCCACTGAAGAATGTGATGTGTTGCATCATTCAGATCATGATTCTGACTCTGAAACGGAATTGTTGTCTGATGTCAATGAAAAATATATTGATAGTAAAAATGGTTATATATGTAAAAATGAGGAAATTATTGCTAAAAATCCCTTGCTATCAACAACTAATAATAATATAAAGGTGAAAGAAGTGTTAAAGCTCAGGAAGCGTCACGAAATTACTCAAAAACATTGTGCATTACCAAGAAATGCCTGGGAACTCCTATTTACTGATGATTTGCTTGAACTTATAGTAACATCCACAAATGAAAAAATTGCAAATTGCAAGAAAGGAGGCTATGCAGCTGCAATAAATATGAATGAACTTAAATCTCTTATTGGAATTTTATATTTTCATGGTATAATGCGTCCTACAAATCAGAAATGTAGCGACCTGTGGCATGATGACTTTGGAATTATTTGCATCCAAAATGCAATGAAGTTTGACCGATTTAAATTTCTTCTTCAGAACTTAAGTTTTGACCATGGAGATAGTGACAATATAATGCAGTTGGATGTTATGAAACGCATTCGTAAAGCCTTTGAAATATTCGCATTAAATTGTAGGACAGCCTTTGACATTGAAAATGTGGCAGTTATAGATGAAGTTCTCCTACCAGTTTATGGACCTTGCCCTTTTAGGTATAATATAAAAAAGAAGCCTTTAAAATGTGGAATAAAAGTTGTGCTTCTTGTTGATTCTTCAAATTTTTATATCAGCAATGTGGATGTCATAACTGATCCATATTTTAGTGCAAGTGACATAGTTAACAAGTTAGTACAACATTTGGCCGGATCCGGACGAACAATTATTATGGATTCTTGGTACACATCACTTACTTTAATGGACAGATTACAAAAAGAGTACAGGCTATTTAGTATTGCCGCATTAAATCCAAGTGATGATATTTTACCACCATTGTTTGTGTCCAACTATAGAAGAAGTCAAACTTTTGTAAGTGGATTCTTGAATGACAATGTTTCTTTAACATCATATGTGAATACAAGTCAAAAGTCTATAAATATTTTGTCTAATGACCCAATGTTTTATAAGAAAGGACATGTTAATCACCAGACAGTTGTATCGGTTTATAAAAAGAACCAGCCTTCAGTGGAGCTTATCGACGTACTAATGCATTATTATACTACAATGCAGAATACTAATGACTGGACTCTCTCATTATTCTTTATGCTACTCAATATTGCAGCAGTTAATGCGCAAGTGATATGGGTTTCACAAAACTCTGAAATTATTGTTCAGAGGCGTTTGTTCATAAAAGATTTAGCTGTAAGTCTATTGGAAACTAATGAAGATATACCGCGCGTTGTTGATGGCAGAGCTAAGAAAAAAAAGTTGATGTTTTTGGATCATCTTACACCTTCATATAAGGGCAGAAGAAGATGTAGAATTTGTGTCAAGACAATGAAAAGAGATAGAAGAACAAGGCAATATTGTGTTAGATGCGGTCAATTCATTTGTAGAGAGCACACTACTCCTGTCTGTACTATGTGTGAATAATATATTATGTTGTCTCACCAATAATATAAAGTTGAAATATTCCTTTTTCAATATTTCTTAGTTAAATAATGGGTATCATTATTAGTTAAATGCAAATAAACATACAAGTTTTTCACTGTTTAGCTATACAAATAATAAAATATAACTTTACCTGTTTGAAAATAACTCTCAGGTTTATCTTTTGTTAATTGTGCCTTAATCAAAGTCAATATTAAAATATTTGTTTGTAAAAAACCGGGTTCGATCCCCACCAGCACCAATGAAATTGTTAATTGCAATTTTAAGTGTTGATTTACCACATGCTCGGCGGTGAAGGAAAATATATTATGTTGTCTCACCAATAATATAAAGTTGAAATATTCCTTTTTCAATATTTAGTTAAATAATGGGTATCATTATTAGTTAAATGCAAATAAACATACAAGTTTTTCACTGTCTAGCTATACAAATAATAAAATATAACTTTACTGTTTGAAAATAACTCTCAGGTTTATCTTTTGTTAATTGTGCTTTAATCAAAGTCAATATTAAAATATTTGTTTGTAAAAAACCGGGTTCGATCCCCATCAGCACCAATGAAATTGTTAATTGCAATTTTAAGTGTTGATTTACCACATGCTCGGCGGTGAAGGAAAACATAGTGAGGAAACCTGCATGTTTAGTCTAGCGATCTGGTGAGCGGTAGATTACTAGTCCTCATTGTATTGCAACAGATAAGATATTTCATTGATTTCTTAAAATATGTAATAATATCTCAAGATAAATAACGTTGAATTCAAAAATGTTTATTAGTAATAATTAGGTAGTAGTATTGGTGGTGCGTTATTTGTGAACTTGGTCAGTTTACTCTTTAAGGTCAAATTAGATTTTTAGTATTTAAAATATATATTATGAATTATTTGGTTATAAAAACTAAATTCTTATTATTATATTTATTAATTCAATTGACATACAATAAACTTACTAAAGTAAAATTTGTAACAATTTTTATAGTAAATGAGTTGTTAGGATATTTAACTTGTTTTTATGTATGAAGTTGAGGTAAATAATTATTTTGATTCAATATTTTTGCTTTAAATATTTTGTTGACTTACTAAGTAGGGGATAACCATAAGATACTTATTATTTGCTGATGATACTTCATTAATTTTCAAACTTAAACGACATTTACTAAAATATGGCGAAATAAATAATGCTTTATCTAAATTAATAAATTGGTTTAATATTAATAATTTGCATTTAAATGACATCAATACTAAATGTCTTAAATTCATAACTCCAAATGTTAAACATCAGAATACTAATGTAATTTCAAATGGTGAGCAGTCGAGTCTTGTGTATATCAGCATTTTTCGTGGAATTATATATCAAAATTAGCAAGCAGACTTAGTTCACTGGTGTATGCTGTAAAAAATTGAAAAAACCCTAACCAGTGTTGAATTAGCTAGACTACTTAATTTAACTATTGCTTTACAATAGTGTCATATGGTATTTTGCTATGGGGACACATGACTAGCACTGAAAAGAGGGCCATTAGTGTAATATATCATTAAAAACCTAAAGAGGCTCTAAGGCAAAAATTTAAGGTAATTAATGTATTAACTTTGGACTTCCAATAAATTTACGAAAATTTAATGTATGTACACAAAAATATAAGTAGTTTTAAAAAATTGAGTGATATTCACTCTGTAAATACTAGAAATGGACACAAGCTAGTAGTAGCAGTTACTCAACTCCACAGAGTGAGTAGGTAGTTCATTCTTAGGGTGATGTATACAACTTACAACAAAATCCCAGAAAATACACAAAATCTGACTTCCGCTTAAAGGCTTTATTAACCGAAGATTGTATAAAAAAAGTTATAATATGTATTATGGAATTTTGGATGATAATTAATTACCTCTGGGATTGAGGTGATCGCTACCAAGCTATTTCTTTTTGTGTTGATAATTATTATTACATAACTTATTATATGGTTTTAAATTGACCTTTTTTTATATAAATATCCCACAAGGTTTCTTTCTGGTTCTTCTCAGGACAGACATATTTTATATTTATATAAGACAAGTGGTAGAGATGATATTCTCGCAATAAATTTTCTTCCACAACTATAATATATTCATATTCATATATATATATATATATATATATATATATATATATATATAATCTAAATATTTTATTCAAGGGATCACTTGCGCAGCAAATATTTTTGCAGTGTCACAAATACGGATGCATACACTAAGTCACACACTTGTTTATGTAACATATATGTAACAAGGCTAAGACCAGGATGCATAGACAGACACATGGAAATAATTGCAACATAATAAAACTTGAAAATCAATAATTTGTGTAATTTTACTAAAGTTGGCTCTAGGTGGTACCTGGATTGCCAGAAACACTTAACACTTAGCGATATCATGGCCTTGCAAAACATATATTTTTTTTAATATTATCAAAGCTAAAATTTTACTTTAGTAAAGTTTTTATTAGATAGCATGTTAAATATTGAAATAAAATAAACCTCACAACTGTCAAAATAATAATTATTACTCACTAAACATGAGAACATACACAATAAGTACTAGGTTTCTTGGATAAAACCCTTGAATGAAGAATGTGCCAATTGGCATGAAAAACCAACTTGAAAGATTTGCACAGAACACTGCTACTGCCACTCATCCTATGTATGTAAGATTTAGCTTTTCGAACGAATAAACCGCCTTTTGTCAATCACCAGAGACTTATGCTTTAATTCAAGTTGTAATGACTACCATTTTAATATCTTCTTGAAATAAAAATAGTATTTATTTTTAATTTAAAAACGTTCTAGCACTAATGCTCGAAGTGCGGGAGGCCTTTTACGTACATTAATTGTATATGGACAAACATCTAAATCCAGATCAATTTTTTGTTAACTGTACAATGTTTGGTGTAGGATTCGAACACGCAGCTTGTCAAAATTATGGCCACGTTCGAGCCCCGCCTTAGATGAAAATCCACTACTTAAACTGTAAGCTTTCAATGCAATATCAAAGGGTTAGGTGCCATAAACAAACACCGCAAATTATTGTTGTGTTACATTTAGAGTATGCGGAATCTATGTCTAGGTTTTGATTATATTGGAGAAAAATGTTTTCTGCAATTTCCATTGTTTTTCTATAACGAGTCTATGCATTTTGTGCTAAAGTGACTAAATATTGACAGCCCGTAAACAGTGACCTTCTTGATTCTTATTATTGTCAAAAATGCTGTGTTATTTGAAAGATATCTATCATTACGGGTTTTATTGCAAGTATCGTTTCTGATCTCTATTGCCTATAGCAGAAGAGATTCAAACCACTTATTTAGAGAACACAACCTGAGTTGCAAAGGCAGAAAGGGTGTAGTCATTCATCAGAAAGCAACAACAATTGGGAGAACTTGACTAGAAGACTAGAAAGTGTTGATACATTCACAATATCATCTTGACCTTGCATCCTCAGATTTTCGTTTACATCAGTATTTTTTAGTTGCATAAAGGTATATAAAGACAGATTGTCATAAGAATTTTTGACTCAGAATATCAACTTTACTACAGAAACGGAACCATGTCATAAGTAACAAGATGGTAACAAGCTATAAACTGCGCATATTTGTATTTTAATAAATGTATACACATACACTAAGATTATCTCCTGTATCGTGAAGGCAGTTTACATACATGAATTGCACAAGGACAAAGATCCAGACTAAGAGCAATTATTTGCAGGCCATACAAATACTTATCCGTGCAAGATTCGAACACGCGTCCTCAGTGCCGCAAATATATGCTAAGCCCATAGCCATGAAAAAAGCAGTTTCTTAAAGTTGCTTTTCAAATATATTTTGTTATTACCTTATATTCCATCTTTTCCAGTAGTTTCTCAAATTTCAATATTGTTGATTTTATCTTTAATGCTATTTCAGGGCATGGACAGTGAAAAAGATGAAGAAGAAGATGAAGATGAAGAGATGAATGATTCCAGTCAACATTATGCAAGTGCACCCACCAATATGCCTGAAGTGTCAATCACAGTCATGCGTCCCACTGGGGAAACATTGCATGCCCGACAAGGAATCCAACAACTTGCCTCTAAGGATTGTTTAGTTTGCGGTCGATCTTATAGGTATTCGCATAACGCAAGGCGTCATGAGCTTACTGCGCATAGTTTTGATAGATACACAAATAAAATAACCATCAAAAAGTCTCAAACACACATGCAACCAAAACTCAGACCCAATCCATTTAATCCGAAAGCAAGGTTAATGCCTAATCCAATCAATCATAAAATGCAGCTTGTTCAAAAAGGGATACCTACCAAAATTATGCAGCAGAAGGTTGTGGCCCCACCAAAGCCTATACCAATAAAAGCGCCAAAAGGCTCGCAAAATAATTTGCCATATCCACTTCGCATAAAAGCTCTTAAAGACTTGCAAATTAAGAAAAAAGAACCTCAAATTTTAAAAACGTTATTGACAACAAAACCTGAAATTTTAGTATCTGAACCAGAAATAATTAACTCTGCTCCAGAAAGTCCGGAAACTTTGATTTCTGAGCCGGAAATAGCTTCATTTCAAGTAGAAACCATTCTGGAAGAACCAGAGACTTATAATCAAGAACAAGACGGCGAAGAGGTAGATGGTGATACGCAAAATAATCAGAGTCAAAATTACGACACTGTTGATATGGATTCTGATAATGAAATTGAAATCGCACGTCAGCAAGAAGACGCGGTGGAAGGTGAAGGCAAACTTGAAGAAGATCACCAAGTTGAAAACGAAGCTGAAGAAGGTAATGAAATAGAAAATTTGGACAATGGCGATGAAAACAATATTGAAAGAAACCATAGCGACAATGAAAATGATCACATTGACGATACTGCTGATAGTCAAGATGAAATACAAATCGTTAATGAAACGGAAGGTAGGGAGGAAGATGAAACCAAAGAAGGAGAAGAAGATCATGATGAGAGGGACGGTGAACAGCCGGAGTATAACCATGAAGAAAATGAGGATGACGATGATGAGCTACCACCTATAGCTCCAGTTGTAGAAATTAATGAAGACTTGCAAATGAATTCGTTTAATAGTGAGATACACGAAGAAGAGGAGCTTGATGAAACAGTTGACCCAAATGATACTGCAGATACTGTAAAAGAACTTGATCCTGACAAATTATATGTGACTAAGACACAAAGAGATTTTATTCATAAGTATCGTGATATCATTGAACAAATCAATACCAAAAGATGTCTATGTTGTGATAAAGAACACCCACGGCGTAAGGCTGTAATACAACATTTACAGAAAAATGGGCACAAGGTCCCAAAACATACATGCTACAACTGCGTTGTCACCTTTGGCCATATTGGGGCTTTACTTAGTCATATGCGGTCTAACACATGCACAGATTTGTGGAAAATTATTTATAACGAAAATGGAATCACTGATGACTTAGTTTTAGAAGATGAGCCTAAAGATGCTAAAGTTCAATATAAAGATATTTTTAATGCTAGGTCATATGCATGTAAATTATGCCCAGCAAAATTCCAACTTAAACAATTTATTATGAAACATGTATTGGATGTGCACGAGGATGGTCAATCCCGTGTGCATCTTGCTTGTGTTCACTGTGGGTCTCGATTTAAAGACAAGGCTATATGGAAAAGACATATACGTAACGGAGAGTGTACAGTTTACATCGCGTGTGACCTATGTACAGAAATATTTAGTAACATGCAAGCTTTTAATGACCACGCATTGTCTGTGCATGCTGGGAATTTCGACCAAACTGATAATCAGAACAAATGTGTTGATGGTAGACCAACAGATTGTCCGATTTGCGGTAAGAAGAATAGCAGCTATCCCAATTTGGTTAAACATTTGAAGATAATTCATAGTGAAGAAAAACCTCATTATTGCCAGCATTGTGATTCCAAATTTGAACAAGCTGCTGATCTTAACAAACACATTTATATGGAACATTCTGATAGAACCTTAGGAATGCAGACCAATGAGCCTGACATGTCGCTCGTCAAAGAAGAGGCCGAAGAATATCATTATTCATGCACAGAATGTAACGCCATATTTGAAACCGTTGATGCTTGGACAGATCATCAGGTGGCTGAGCATAATCAAATTGCTCATCATTGTGATCAATGTTATAAGAAATTTTTGAGACCATCGGAACTGGCAGAACACAAAAATACGCATTTGAGAGTGAAGTTCTATCCTTGCAGTATTTGTACTAATTCTTACAGCACGCCGCAAAAACTTTCAGAACACGTCCAACAAGTCCATCCTGGAGTGGGAGCAAGTGCCGCTTTAGATTCTGAATTTTTCTGCGACATTTGTATTAGATCGTTCAAAAGTCGTCAAGCTTATTCAAACCATATGCGTATTCACGCTAAAGTACCTACAACTAATCGGAAACCCGGGGAACCTAAAGGATTTGCGCCGCAAATTATTGGGAAACCGATAAAATCTTTTTCTATGGTACAGCCTGGTTTTGTATCTTTCAAACCTAATTGCAATGTTCCCAATGCACCTTATTCATGTGATATTTGTGGAAAGGGCTTTATGCACAAGAAAAATATTTGGAAGCATAAGAAAGTGCTACATGCAGATGTTGTTGGAGACCGAAATGACAGTGAAGAAAATACTATGCAGGCATCAACTGAAGAAGATGAATACAATTTAGACGAAAATGGTGCTGTACTTTCCACTCCCCAGTTTAATAGTTTTAATTTTACTAATTTAACAAATAGCTTGCAACCCCAAACTTCTCCTCAAGATCCAACACCCTACTCTTGTGAACTATGCTTTAAACGTTTTCCCCTCAGGACAAGTTTATGGAAACACAAACGAGCTAAGCATGGAATTATTAACGCTAGTGCTAGTGGTAGTCCTGATTCTCAGATGGTGGGAAGTAGTGAAACCGGCAGATCTAGCTGCACTATTTGTAAAATTACTTTTTCAGACAAAAAGTCTTACTACCGTCATAGGAAAAATGTTCACAAGTCATCAGTTCAGATGTGCAAGATTTGTGGTAAGCCTCTAAATTCGACATTGGAGTTATATGAGCATTTAAAAGCTGCTCATGCTAGAGAGTTATTAGGATATAATGAAAACCAAGGTTCCAGTAAGTCACAAGAAATTGTTCAAGAGTTAGACGTAGATTACGAAGGTGACCAGGATTCTATGGATCCTAGCTTAGAATACCAAGCTCGATATCCGTGTGATACATGCGGAAAACAATTTGTAGGTTTGCTAGCACTGCAAAACCATCAATGTATTAATCAAATACAATCTTCCCCCCAAACCTTTGATTGCGAGATTTGTCACAAAAGTTATACTTCCATTTCTGCATTAAAAAGTCACCGTGGATGGCATTTACGGTCACCTGATGGAAAAGCGGCTGCTAACAATACAGGTCTATGGATGCCTCAGCATAAAGTAACAAGCAAAGTTAGCAAACATGAAATTGTCGATCCCTCCCAACTTGCACGGGTGACTCATTCGACTCCTGCAACTGTAGTCAAAAGGAGATTACCACCGGAAGTAGAAGTGACTGTTGTTAACCCAAATAAGAAAATGCGTTCTGATGATTCAGTAGAATTAGAACAGCAGAATTCATCCACTGGAGCTGAAGATAGATATTGCACAATATGTGATAAGGAGTTCACAAAACGAGCGGCTTATCAACGTCACATGGATGAGGTTCATCAACCTAACTCTGTATTCTGTCCCGTTTGTGACAAGAGTTTTACGCGAAAATCAACCCTGATCGTTCATATGAAGAAACATTACGAAAGTGGGGAAAGTAGTTCAGCTGCAGCTGATCAGATGGAGGATGACGTTCACGCATGTGACCTTTGTGGCGTTCAATATGATAATGAGAGCGCGCTTAGAGCCCACCGAGCAAGGCATCATGGTGATGAATCAGGGGAGTCTGAAGATGATGGGACCAGTGTTCCACCTCCTGGCGAATTCACCTGCGCTCAATGTGGGGATGGAGTCGCCACACCCCGTGATTTAATTGCCCACCGCTCCATGCATGCCACTCCAACAAAATTCTTCTGCAACATTTGCAAGGTTTACTTTGCTCGAGCTATCGACCTCTCGTCCCACACACGAGCCAGACATGCGGACAATGAAAAGGTATTTTTCCCATGCGCAATGTGTGACCGTTTTTACATGAACAAGAAGAGCTTACAACGACACATTGAGATGGCTCACTGATCTTCGCCCTAAAATGTCGACGACCGAATATCACTTTATAACAATAGGTTCAAAGAACTCAGAATTAAATCTGAAATTGTGTGCGTAATTATTAGGACACTGTTTATTACGGAGTCGACTTACCAGACCAATAAATGTCTTAATTATTGTAATTGTACATACTACCATGATCTTTCTGATCAAAACTTGATGAGACAACAGTGTAACTACTGTCTTGGGATAAATAATTTTAGTGTCGTATCAATGTCATTCCTAGACTATACATTGGTTGGTTTTTTTAAATGATAGTGAGGTTTTTTCTTTATTTTATTATTTTAAGCCTTTGCTCATTATTGTCGTATTTATTACATTGATCTGTCCATTGTGATTTTGGATGACTGTTACAAATTTGTTTTCTTGTAATGGTAATTGTTAACTCACATTGGATAAGTCTTAGATGTACTTATCATGATTACGTATATGATTATTGTATTTATATAAGGTGGTATAATGTGTCTGTTTCTTTATTATTCTATATTATGTATCTATTTTTTATTATTGGAAAAATGGGCCAAAATTTTATAATTAGTCAAAACCAGTCATAAATTAGCAGTCTTGATTTATGTTCTAAGTTGAAATATAATTATTCTGAAATTTCTTTTCGGTGAGATCATTGTGATTAGCGACGATTTATTTTAATTTTTAAAATATTTTAATACTAAGAATTCAACTTACATGTAAATATTTTCATGTTATTACTAGTTAGGATCTTAATGATTTTAGACTAAAACAGTCGTTTAAGTTTCGTTAAATTGTACTGATTATTTCATAGTAATTGCAAATGTATATTTTATACAAAAAAACTAACCACTAATGGCGTACCTCCTCATCTATGGTGATAAACATTGATATCTACATTGGGCCTACAAAGTTGTTACTGCTATTACTATACATATAGACAAAATTTGTATTGTAATTTGTTATAAATGAATCGTTAGTATAGTATTTATACTTTTGCACAGATAATGATAATATTTTAGTTTTGTTTCGCGTTATCATCTTAAATTAAATAGTGCCAAAAATTTGCTTGATTCATTCTCATCGTAGGCAATTTTAGGGTATACAATTATGTAGTTTTAATATAATAGGTACTGTAAATTAAACAAGTGTAAAAAAATTCACTGTATTTGTACAATGTTATTCTGAAATAAAAAATACAAATCTTTTATGCATTTATGTACTTTCTTGATTATACATGTTGAAAAAAAGAATATATAACGGTTCTATGTTCTGATTAACAAATATACGTGTTATTTATTTTTCAGTACGAATATTAATTTATATCAAAATGTTTGTTAGTCTCACGATGATGTATTTTATGAATGTAAGCAGTTGTCTTAATTCTTGTGATGTCTTGATTCCGTAAGTTTTACAAAAATCTTTAAAATTATAATTGTGATAAATATTATTTTTAATTTAAAACTTTTAAAAGACTTAAGATTCTCCTTTCAAATTGTATTATTATTAGACTAACCATTATACAGACCTAATTATAAGAGTCGTCATTCATTTTAATGCATGTTATGGAATGTAACAAATGGACTTTAATTTTATTGCACCAATATTAAAATTTTTGATTAAAAGGGATCTTCAATTAGGAGTAATTATGGTCCATAGATGAGGTTTACTTTTGTCATCTTTGTGGTTTGGTAAATAAAGTGACTTAATTGAAATGCCTTTTATTTTATTTAATCCCAATTTTAACCTTAGAACCACAACATAGAGTGGTGGACTGATATTTATTTTTTAAATTGGTCTTAGTGAGAAATTGACCTTGAATTCTGTGCATGTAGATTCTGTGTGTAGTAGCGTGACGCTTCGCTAAGTGCGTTCGTTTATTAGTTTTCGAGTTTATTACCTGTTGGCAGTGATGTGTTTACACCGGGGGCTAGTGCCCAGGGCGGCAAAAGTTGTGTGAGCAATAAATTTTTTTTAACTTTCTGCTATAAAAATAAATTTCAAAAATTGGGAAGTTATTGGGTTTGATGCCGATTTTTAAAAATCGCGTTCTCTTTGGATCTTCACATTTCGAAGATTAGTATATAGTACATAATAGTTATTCTAAGTATTACAATTTTTCAATGAATGGTTGTCTAGTTATAGTTGAAAACTTGTCTTTTACCTAACCTAAACAATACTCTTGTACTAGTACTCTAGCATGAGTGCGTAAGGAAGGCAGATTTGGTTTTACCAAATTCATTTTCTATATTACGTATATCGAGATATTTTTGAGAGCATGTTATTTATCTACTGAGCGTGGATAAGAAAATTGCAAACCTTTAAATCAATAAATTAAATCTAATACATAGCAGGGGCGGAGCAAGACCTAAATTTGTTGTGGGCAAGATTAATTTTGCGAGGCCCGCTGATGACGAATAATTATTCGCCCATACTGTAAAACGAGGTGAAATAGCAATGATTTTCAATTTGTCCAAAGAATTTGTTGTTAATAACTTATTTTTTTTACCTTAGGTGATTTTATATCATATCCGGTACCATGCAAAAAGAGCTACAATAGTTTTTTTTTAACTATGAACATAGGTTTTCCAGAAAATTTGCAAAATATTTACCATTTCTATTCACCCAACGACTGGGGTCAATAGAAACGCGTAAAGAAATGGAAAAACTATTAGGGCTGTCACACATTACTTTTATCCAACATGCAAAAATGTAAGGTTCTGTGTTCAAAATTTTTTTCTTGTAAATGCTTAATGAATTTCAAATTTTGTGGTTTAAACAATTTATATTTATAAACATAAATATACTTGTATTTTAACTGATTTCATTTTTACGAAATGTTAATGAACTATTTAATAAATCAAACGAGATACTTAACAGTTTATTCGTATTTTTATTTGAATGAAATAAAACAAAATACAAATCAATTATCTGAATTAAAAGTCGAATATATTATTATGCTAGGAGATTTTAATGGAAGGGTTGGGGTGAGGAGGCTTGGTTATGAAAGGGTATTGGGAACGTTTAGTAATGAAAGTATAAATGAGAATGGTGAAAGCCTCCTCACCGTATGTGTGGAAAGGAATCTTTTTGTGACGAACACTTTTTTTCGTCATAAGAAGATTCACATGTATACTTGGGAAAGAGGTGATGATAGAAGCATGATAGATTTCATAACTGTGGATGAAAGAATGAGGAGCGCAGTGGTGGATACAAGGGTTTACCGGGGGCCCAACGTAGGGATGGACCACTACCTGGTCTTATGCCGAATTAGGGGTTTATTCAGACGTTGGCGGCATAGGACATCTGTGTCTACCACTGCGTTACAGCGTATAAGAATTGAGAGGTTACAATATGAAGATGTGAAAGACAAGTACAAATGCAGACTGAGAGAAAATATAAGTAATTTGGATGAGTTGTGTGTGAATGAGTTAGACTTGGAGAATGTGTGGCATAATGTTAAGAAAGGTTTAGTGGATGCAGCTACCGAAGTATGTGGTGTTAGTAAGAGAACGAATGAAAGGAAAGACAATACGTTATGGTGGGATGATGAGGTACGTATGGAAGTTGAAGCAAAGAAGAGAGCATGGCTAGATTTACTAGCGACCAAAGCTGGTAATTCTGGCGGTAAGAATGATGAGAATGAAAGAAAAAAGGCAGAGTTTAAACGTTTAAATAAGAGAGTAAAAGAATTAGTTGAAAGGAAAAAGCAAGAAAGAACGGATAAGAATGATAGAAGAATATCGGATAACTTCAAGGCAAATATTAAAATGTTCTGGAAACGCGTAAGAAATACCAGGGGACTTTCAAAACAGCCTAGATTGAATGCGATACGAGACGAGAATGGCTGTATCCTGAATGATGAAGTGTTGAGTCTAAAGAGATGGAAGGAACATTTTGAAAGCGCATTTATGAGTGAGAAGTGTGAACTAAATGAAATAGAAATTCCGAAAGAAGATGAAAGAGATAGGGAGATAAGTATAGATGAAATATTGAAAGCAATGAAAAGCATGAAAGTTGGTAAGGCAGCCGGATATGATAGAGTTTCACTCGAAATGCTAAGGGCTGGAGAGGACGTGGTGGCAGGCCTGGTGTACACCTTATTTAATTTATGTTGGGAACTAAAGCGGGTACCGGGAGACTGGTGCAAAGCCGTGATAGTCCCAATATATAAGGGAAAAGGGTCACAGCAGGACTGTAAAAACTACCGTGGTATCAGCCTTCTTAACATTGTGGGAAAACTGTATGCTAAGGTACTAATTGAAAGAGTTATGAAAGAAACTGATGAAAAAATTTGGGATGTGCAAGCGGGATTTAGAAAGGGAATGGGGTGTACAGATCAAGTCTTTTCCATGCGCATGATTGCGGAGAAGTTTTTGGCGAAAAAGCAAAAAGTTTTTTGTGCGTTCATGGACTTGGAAAAGGCTTATGACAGAGTGGACAGGGATGCGTTATGGCAAACGCTGAACGCATTTAGGTTGAGCGCTGGTTTGATACAGGCATTAAAGTCTTTGTATAGGGACTCGAGTGTTTGTGTTAGAATCAACGGGGTCTACTCGGACTGGTTTGGCATCCATAAAGGTGTCAGACAGGGCTGTGTAGCCTCCCCCCCGAACGGGTTCCCGCCTTGTCGTGGCGGGGGGGCTTAGTAGCCGTGGCTTGGTCTCCCACGGTGAACAAAGAGGAACCCACGTGGCTGGCCCGAGGTGAAGGGCCGGCCTGAGGTGGCCGCTCCGAGTGGGCTTGGGGAGCCCACTTCGGATGTGTGCTGGTGGACTGCAGCGAGTGGGGACTCGCGCACCCTCTACCGCTGCAGCCGAGGTGGAGTCGCGGAGGAAGAGGAGTGTTGGTATGGCGATGCGCCACTCGCCCTATCCTTCGCGACTCAAACGGGGCCGCACCGTTGATGCGGTGGTGGTGGGGCTGCGGGGGGAGAGGATTGTCGGTATTGCGAGGCGCCACTCTCCCTACCCTCCGCAGCCGAATCTTGGTTGGCGGGGGAGCCATAGATCAGATCCGCCGCTGGGGTCGGGAAGGCTAGTACTTCTAAGTGCTCGTTTTTCCTGGCCCCATGGCCTTTGTGCATCGGACGCGGGGGCGTCTGTTGCACAGACGTAGTTGGAGGCCGTGGAGGAAGGCGCACCATGTGTTCTGGTGCGCCTTACCTGGGAAGGAGAACGGGGAGGAATTTTCCTCTCCCGAGGAGGTGCTGCCATGGGGCGGCAGTCGCTGGTAGGGCCGCGGATGTGTGCGAAAGCGTTCCCGTAGCCCTGCCAATATGCGACAAAGGTGGAACACCATGGGGTTTTAGTCGGTGCGAGTCCGACATAACCCGTCCTTGCCCCCGCGAGGCGGGTATGCGTAGGCATTTCCCCATGCAAAAAAAAGGGCTGTGTAGCCTCCCCGTGGTTGTTCACACTATTTATGGACAGCTGTTTGGAAAATTTGAAAGTTTAAGAATGCGGGTTAAGAATGGGTGAGTTAACCATCAAATGCCTTTTGTACGCTGATGATCAAGTCATACTTGCGTCGTCGGCGGCCGAGTTGCAAATGATGGTTACATTAATGAACAGGTCATTAAAAGAAAGGGGAATGAAAGTGAAGACGAAAGTGATGGTTTTTGAAAGAGATGAAAGCAAAATGGTATGTGAAATAAGAATAGAAGGGGAGTTAATTGAGCAAGTGGATGAGTTCGTATATTTGGGATGTGTATTCAGCAGGGATGGGAGATATGATACGGATATTGAATGACGAGTGAATGCAGGAAATAAAGTAAATGGGGCTCTACACTCTATTATGAGAAGTCAGAATGTGTCAAAAAAGGCACGTATGGCAATTCACAGTGCTGTATTAGTCCCTACTTTAACGTATGGTAGTGAAAGTTGGGTGTGGCAGAAGAAGCACGAGAGTAGAATAAATGCAGTAGAAATGCGGTCGCTAAGGAGTATGTTAGGGCTGAATCTGAGTGACAGGGTGAGAAACTGTGTGATAAAAGAAGAGTGTGGTTTGCAAGATGATGCGGTGACCAGGATTAAGAAAGGAATGCTTCGGTGGTTTGGTCATGTAGAAAGAATGAATGCAGAAAGACTGACAAAGCAAATATATGTTGCAGAAGTGAATGGAAGAGTCGGAAAGGGACATCCTAGGCGGAAGTTTGTCGACCAAATTGGCGATATATCAAAAATGGGCCAAATTAAGAGAACCCTTAACCGACGAGCATATATGCGTAGGTATATGGATGTGGAAGAGGCGAGAAAGGTATGTCAGGATCGTGCTAAATGGAAGTCTGTAGTCTCTGCCTACCCCTCTGGGTGACAGGCGTGAGTGTTTATGTTATTATGTTATGTTATACTGACCGTCATTCACTATCGCATTGGATATAATTGGATATAATATATTTTACTCTCCATAATGTCATCAGCCGTTTTTTCCGTACTGATCGTAACCTCTTCACATAAACTATCAAAAAAGAGAATGGGTAGAGTTTTGATGTCTATATTATTATGTATTTTGCATTGTAATTCTTCTATGTTATTATCATAATAATCTTCGTAAGCCGTGACATTATCGTAATTTTCCTGTCTTGTATTTCAGCATTTTTTGGCCTGCGTTGTTATGTAATTTTTTCCTTTCATTATTGTTGTTATCATTATTATTCTTGTCTTCTCTTTCTATTCTTTCCAAACTTGATTTTTTTGTTATTACTTCGATATCTTTTCCTTTAGTGTTATTGTTTTCTATATTAATGTCGAAATTTTCTTTTTCTTGTATTTCTTTTGCTTCCAAATATGGTATCTTAGTTTTTTCCAATCCCTTTATCTTTTCCCTTGTTAGGTTCTATTTTCTCAGGGCAATTTACTTTTTCTTCATTTGCTTTTATTTTCAAGTTTGTCATTTTATTTTTTTTACCTTTTTCTTTATTCTTATTATTTAAACCTGATGGGCCACTAGTACTTGTATCGTATTTTGTTTTTTTAGGAGTTTCCACACTGTAATTAATATCAGTTTCTGCAAAATCTTCAATTTCTTCTGCAGCGACACTTTTACCTGGGAGTACATTGAGTTTTCTCTTTCTTTTAAGCTCCATGATATTAATGGAACCATATCTCATTTCTTTGAGGAGTGTTACTATAGAATCTTTCACAACACTTTGATTATCTGCACCTAATTCTACGTCAGGAAGTCTAGCTAATATTTCATGTACATTTAAAGGCTAATCCCTGTTTTCTTAAATCCAGCAATAATATTCCTTGAAGCATTTATATTAAGCTCATCAATAAAAAAAAATAGTTTTGGAAAGTCTTTTCCATTTTAATAATAATTGTCTCCAGGCACGCTTCATTGGACCTAAAAATGCCACGTCCAGCGGTTGCGTCAGGTGAGTTGAGTTGGCTGGTATAAATAATAGAATACAAAATCGATATTGTGCCCTTTACATGTTTGGATCAAATCTGCTGATAAATGTGAAGACAGATTGTCTCCAATTAAGCACTTTTTGCCTGGTAAATCCTTAAGATAAGGAACCACCATATTTTGCACCCAGGCCTCAAAAGTGGTTCCATCAAACCATCCAGATGTCGACCTGTTATATCGAGTACCGTCAGGACCTTGTTGGACCCAGGAATCATATAAATGGGTTGCTTTGTATACTACATATGGCGGTAACATTTTACCATTTGCGGTACCAGCCATTATAATAGATAGGAAGCCTTGGTATGACTTAAAACCCTTTCAGGGTACTTGCACCACCGCTTGACCAATATTTTCTTCCGCCCAGGGTCGTCCGACAAATTTGTCTCGTCATAATTTAAAATGTTAGAAGTAGATACTCCACTTAAAGATTTCTCAAGTTCGATGAAATATTCTTTAATCGTATCTGAAGATACCTTAGCTCTCACACGCTTGATATTTTCACAAACTCTTTGAGAAATCTCTTTTTTTTTTTTCCGGACAAAGTTCTTTGGCCTCCTTGTCGCTTCACATCCCTGGTACTGTGACGATACAACACCGATTTGTGTATGCCATATTTTTAGCAACTCCTTCTAATTTTACATTTCGAGAAGTTACATACTCTTCCACAGCTTTTTTTATTATTTCCGTGTCATATTTTTTATACCTTTTCCTTGTAGGATCGAATCTGTATACACGCGGCATGTTGAATACACCTACGGCGGTATGTAGCTGTAAATTAAAATTATAACTTTAAAAATATTATTTATTTATCAATCACTAAATCCATAGCTCTGAGATACTACCTATATATTATGGACTTACTATTTATTAATACTAAAACTATGAAGGTAGTTATTTAGTTATGTTAACAGTTTTTGACAATCCTATTTATTTATCTCTATTGACCCCTCATTAGTATCTATTCACACATTAAGCGTTTCTATTATTCCCTACTAGGTTTCCATTAAGCCCATATTACTGTTCTATTCCCCCTTCAACAGATTCTATTTTTTTTTATAGAAGAAGGGGCAAACGAGCATGCGGCTCACCTGATGTTAAGTGACTACCGCCGCCCATCATCAACCGCAATACCAGGGGAATTGCAGGTGCGTTGCCGGCCCTTTAGAAAGGAGTACGCTCTTTTCTTGAAGGTCCCCAGGTCGTATCGGTCCGGAAAAATCTCTGGTGGTAAACTATTCCACAGAGAGGTTGTACGCGGAAGAAAACTCCTCTTGAAACGTACAGTGGTGGACCGCCAAGCATCCAGATGATGTGGATGGTATCGCGACGTTTGCCGCGTAGTGCGTTCACGAAATTTGGCGGCTGGGATTAATCCGAACAATTCCTCAGAGCACTCTCAGTGGTATATGCGAAAGAAAATGCAAAGAGATGCAACATCTCTTCGCAGTGCCAGTGAATCGAGCCGATCGGAAAACACTCGGTCGTCGACGATTCGAGCCGCTCTGCGCTGGATGCGGTCAAGTGGAAGGAGCTGGTACTGGGGAGCCCCAGCCCAGAGATGGGAACAGTATTCCATGTGCGGCCGAACCTGCGCCTTGTAAAGTTGCAGGCGGTGTGCCGGCATGAAATACTGTCCCGCTCTGCTGAGCACGCCAAGCTTTTTAGAGGCCAATTTGGCCTTCTCTTCCAAGTGACCACGAAACTGCACGTCACTCGATATGTCGACGCCGAGGTTTCCGATACTGGCTGAGGCAACAAGGGGAGTGCCTTGAAACTGAGGAGATGCGACAAAGGGGTTCTTTTTAGCGGTTAACGCGCAAACTTGTGTCTTCTGGGGGTTAAAGTGGACTAGATTTAGTCGCCCCCAAAGTGTAAAGAGCATCACCAGTGCTGTCATCTGCATAGCAATGAATGTTACGGGTTTGCAACATATCATTGATATGCAGAAGAAACAGCGTTGGCGATAGCACGCAGCCTTATGGAACACCAGCATTAATAGGCAATCGGAGCTGTCTACAACGACCTTGATGCCCCGATCTGCAAGAAAGCTGGTGATCCAATCGCACAATTTCTCGGGAAGCCCATAGGAAGGGAGCTTCGAAAGAAGCGCTTTGTGCCAAACCCGATCGAAATGTCCAAACTAACGGCCAATGCCTCCCCCTTGGACTCTACTGCCTCCGCCCATCTGTGAGTTAGGTAGACCAGAAGATCATCAGCTGACCGACCACGGCGAAAACCGTATTGGCGGTCACTAATCAGCTGGTGGTCCTCAAGGTACCTCATGAGCTGGCAGTTTACAATGGAATCCATTGTTTTGGAGAACAAGGAGGTGATGGCGATAGGCCGGTAGTTGGACGGGTCTGAGCGGTCGCCTTTTTTAAGGATCGGGTGGACGAAAGCCGTCTTCCATGATTTTGGGACTACGCCTAGAGAGTAGGAGTACCGGAAAAGACGCGTTAAAACCGGTGCCAACTCTGGAGCACACGTCCTCAGCACAATTGGGGGGATTCCGTCAGGCCCACTCGACTTGTGGATGTCCAGGGAGAGGAGTGCTTTGCGAACCGAGCGCTGTGTGAACTGCACTTCCGGCATGGAGCACTCACACCGCGGGATGGTCGGCGGCGTACTCCCCCCGTCATCGAGAGTCGAGCTGGACGCAAAGAAAGAGCCTAGAAGATCGGTTTTCTCCTTTGCGGTATGGGCCAGTGAGTCGTCCTCCCTGTGCAGAGATGGAAAAGATGGCTGACAGAAATTCCCCTGGACAGCCTTGGCGAGAGACCAGAATGCACGGGTTCCAGAAGGAAGGCGGACTAGTTTCTCGCCAATTCTGCCTATGTGCTCTGACTTTGCCTTGGCAATGACTCTTTTGAAGGATCTAGAGGCGGAATTATACTTCTTTTTTTAGAGCGCTGGTGTTTACATCCCGAGACGCTGATGCGTCAGCCCAGGCTTGGTAGCACTCCTGCTTATAGCATGATGCTATTTTACAGGAGCGACCAAACCATGGCTGAGATTTGCCTCCAATGGGCACCACAGAGGAAGGAATAAAAAGTTCCATACCCTGAAGTACCACATCAGTGACAGAATCCGTAACAACGTTGGGATCGTCCGGCGAGAAGCAAACCCGCCCCCAAGGGTAGGATGCAAAGAAAGACCGCATCCCATCCCAATCGGCTGACCTATAGTGCCAAACACGGCGGCAGCCTGCAGATTGCAACTGCGATTTCAGCGTGAGTGGCACCACACTCCGAACAAGACAATGGTCCGAGGAGCCTAAAGGGGCGTCAACGGAAATCGGATATCCGTCCGGTCCGGGTGAGAGGTCAGCAGAAGGTCCAACAGGGAAGGTGCATGATTCTCCACATCTGGAATCCGCGTAGGCGAAGTAACCAGTTGTGTCAGACCATATGCCAAGGCAAAATCATGAACAGATCTCCCCGCATGATCGGTTAAACGTGAACTAAGCCATTCGGCGTGATGGGCGTTAAAGTCGCCGAGGATCACGATCTCTGCGGAGGGGATCTGCTGTAGCAAAGAATCTGTAGCCATTTGGACGTGGTCGAAGAGTCGGTCTGTTTCGGCATTACCGCTATGGGACCTATAGAGGCACCCGTAGACGCGCGGATGGTCGTCGCTGTCTACGCGTAGCCAAAGGATGGACAGGTCCGAACCTTCAAGTCTGCCGAGGCGTCGAGAACAGATGTCCTCTCTGACGTAAATGCAAACTCCAGCCCGAGGCACAAAGGAGTGTTCCAGTTTGTACCCCGGGTAGGAGAGATACGAGACATCAGCCGGAGAGGACACCTGCGTCTCGGTCAGAAAGAGCAGAGCCGACCTCGCCGTCTCGAGATGGTAGTGGACGGCGTTTAGGTTAGAGTGAAGTCCCCTGATATTGCAGAAATTCACGGACAGCGAGGCAGGGGTCGCCTTGGTTTTGTTGCTCCGTTTGCCCTGAGCAGTTGTAGTCTTGAACGGAATTTTGCCCCCCCCCCCCAGAATACGTGGGGCAGCCTGAGCACCCACGCTCAGAAGTGGAGAAACATGATCGTGAATGCTCAGCGAGGGATTCTCCTGCGGTGCTGGTACCCTCCTGGGGTAGTCTATCATCATTTAATTCCGCTACCATGTTGATGGGGGGGGGGGGGGGATTTGGGCCTTCGGCCACCTGCGCTCACCAGACGAAACGCGGAAGCAGAGCTTCCACTTCACGCCGGTATTCTGTGAGGTCGTGGTACCACCCCGGTTTGAGCCGGCCCAAACGTGCAACAGCAAAGCTGCCGCGTGGCTCTACCACTGTTAAAAAACTACACTATTAACCCCTTTTAAACAATAAATTTACACGTACTGTGATTTTAATAAATTTTTGAAGTTTTCACTGAATTTTTAAAATTTATCACACAAGTAATAAGATAAACACATAAACAACACAATTCACTAATTTTTAACATCTAAAATTAAGAGTTGCGGCAGTTAAATTAAACGCGTTTACAGAAGGTAGACTTTGAAGTAAATTTTAAAGGATAAATGTCAATTTTGACATTTAAAACTTGTTGCCAACGCAAAGAAAAAATGTTGATGTGTAATAATTTAAAATACTAACAAAATCTTTCAACGAAAAATAGTCAAATATCAACCTTGAAAACTTTCTTGATATTTTTCTATTCACCCGCAATT